TTCTTTTTTTATGCTTGAGTAATATTCTACTGTATATATATATATATATATATACACCATATGATTTTACTCATATGTGGCATTTAAGAAACAAACGAACAAAGAAAAAAAGAGATAAACCAAGAAACAGACTCTTAACTCTACAGAACAAACTGATGGTTACCAGAGAGGAGGTGGGGGGGAGATAGGAGAAATAGGTGAAGGAGATTAAGAGTACACTTACCTTGAGCCCTGAGTAATATACGGAATTGTTAAATTACTATATTGTACACCTGAAATTAATATAGTACTGTATGTTAACTATTGGAATTTAAACAAGGAAATGAATGAATGAAAGGAAGGAAGGAAGAAAATTTTAAAATTAAACTAAATAAAAATCAAATTATCTGACGTAAAGAAATAAACAATCTAGTTAGGAAAATAAGATACTGCATATAAAACAAATCTGATTTTTACTGGATGTCTGAGCATTTGAGATTATTAATCACTTCCTTCTTATTGTCTATCAGCTTCCCTGATACCATTCTTTCCTGGTTCTTCTCATCTTTCTAATAATTCCTTGTTGGGTTCCTTCCTGGGATCCTCTTCCTTGATACTTGATATTAGGGTTGTTGGTAGGCTTGTTCTTTTCCTTAAATTATATCTTTATTTTTGGAGACATCATCCATTCTGTAGGTTTTTATTATCACTTAAATGTCCATGGTTCCTTGGTCTGTGTCATCACCTGTAATTTCAGATTTGTATATCTAAAAACCTGTTGGACATCTTAGCTTGGTCATTCAGTAGACCTTATAAACTGAGCATATCCAAAACTTTACCTTTTCTTCCACCAAACCTGTTCTTGTTTCTATTTTTTCCTCATTATTTACTCTGCCTGGGAGTTGGCCTAGACTCTTCCTGATGACTGTGCATCTAATCAGTCACTAAGACTTTGCTGATTCTGCTTTTCTTTTTTTTTTTTTAAGATTTTATTTATTTATTTGAGAGAGAAAGGGCGTGCAGGGGGGAGGGGCAGAGGGGAAAGTAGGCTCCCGACTGAGCAGGGAGCCTGACACAGGACTCGATCCCAGGACCCCAGGATCATGACCTGAGATGAAGGCAGATGTTTAACCAACTGAGCCACCCAGGCGCCCCCTGATTCTCTTTCTAATGCTTCTTGATTCTGTCCTTATCTGTCTTTATCATCACTTCCCCAGTTCATGTGTTCTTTGTTTCTCACATGATCATTTACCTCCTGATTTTTTTTTTTTTTACTTCAGTCTTACATATCCCTCAAAACTCAAACTCCACATAGTCACCACTATGGTTTATCTAAGATTTTATTTATTTGTTAGAGAGAGCATGCACAAGAAGGGGGAGTGGCAGGCAGAAGGAGAAGCAGACTCCCCACTAAGCAGGGAGCCCCACACATGGCTTGACCCCAGGACCCTGGGATCATGACCGGAGCTGAAGGCAGACACCTTACTGACTGAGCCACTCAGGCGTCCCCACTATGGTTTATCTAAAAACAAATCCAATCATGTCAGTTTCCTGCCATCCAGCGTGTGGTATGTCTGTCACTTTCCGCAGAGTGTGGTATGTCTATCTTGAATAAATATTTTATTTTTAAACAATGCAAGCATTTTTTTTAAGATTTTATTTTTAAGTCATCTCTACACCCAATGTGGGGCTCGAACTTACAAAAACCCGAGAACAAGAGTTGAATGCTCTACCAACTGAGCCAGCGAGGTGCCCCTTGAATAAAGATTTCTAATAGTTATTTTTAAATGGGTATTACAAAATTTTAACTGTCATTTCAAACCCTTATTTTCATAGATATTGCTAAGGATAAGTTAAAATAGGTATTACATTTTAAAAAGTGAGGTGTTTTAAATTAAAATATCAAGTAATAAATAGTTCAGATGGAACACAGATTTGACAAAAACCATGAAGATGATAATTTCTGGAACACTGATCTATAGGATAAAGCCCATAATGGTTAACATGATACCATATGGACCTTCCATAATTACCAAAAGCTCCATTCTCATTTTTGCTGCTCCAACAGTTCACACTCTGAACTTCTACAATTTATAGAAGCTGTTTTGTGCATCTGTGCATTTACTCATTCTCTTTCTCTTTTTTAGGGAATTTTTTGAAATTGTAAGTTATAACGGTAATATCACAATGGGAAAAAAATAAAACGATTCTTAGTTTTTCTTTCAAAAGCACTCCTCTGCAAATCCCCAAGAATGGTATTGGTTGCATTTTTATCTTAAGGTCTGAGAGTGGGCTCTAAATATGCACTTTGTAAAATATCATAAGGACTAAACTCCAGTTTTGTTTTTCTTTTTGTTCAGTGGCCCTCAGATTCTCAAGAGCTTGATTCTAAGGAACTTTCAGCTGGTTCTCAGTTTGTAGGCCTCATGGCGGTTCTCACAGCATGTTTTTCAAGTGGCTTTGCTGGGGTTTACTTTGAGAAAATCTTAAAAGAAACCAAACAATCAGTGTGGATAAGAAATATTCAGCTTGGTAAGATAAGTTTTAAGTGCTTTCTAATATTATTTTTTTTAATGATTATATTGTTAGTTTTAAAGATTACTATATATCTTTAAATAAATAAGCCTCCCATAGAATCTGCCATTGGGATTCAAATATCTGGCAGAGTTTTTGCCTTTCAAACATTGTATTTTAAATGAATGCCTTTTATTCAAGAAATGGAATTTTAGGTCTGTGACATAAGGGTGTATGTAGCCTGTTTCGGTCCTCACTATTTGGAGACTTAGGAACTTTATTCTTGGTTGCTACAATTCTCAGAGAAGGTGTTCCAAATGACCTATTTTCCTCCTGGAAAAGGAGATTAAAATACTTGGCAAATTTCAGTTATATAATACATTGTTATTAACTGTTATCACCATGTTGTATATCAAATACTCATAATGTACTCTTCAAATATCTTACAGTTTTGTCAGTTTTACCTCAGTAAAGCTGAAAAAAAAAAAAAGATACGTAAATGGAGAAAGTTTGAAATGATGCAATTTTCCTCTTTGTTTTAAAATCTTAATACCTTTTTTATTTCAAAATGTTATGTTTTAGCTTTTAAATACTGTGTCATTTTTCTAACCGAAGATAAATAGTTTAAAACAAAACACACCTCACATATTGAAGGATTGCCTTTGAACAAATTATTTTTTATTTTTTAAAATTTTTTTAAAGATTTTCTTTATTTATTTGACAGAGAGAGACACAGCAAGAGAAGGAACACAAGCAGGGGGAGTGGGAGAGGGAGAAGCAGGCTTCCCACTGAGCAGGGAGCCCAATGCGGGGCTCGATCCCAGGACCCTGGGATCATGACCTGAGCCGAAGGCAGACGTTTAAAGACTGAGCCACCCAGGTGCTCCTGAACAAATTTTTTTTAAAGATTTTTTATTTATTTGAGAGAGAGAGGGCAGAGCGAGCAAGAGAGAAAATGAGCGGTCAGAGAGGGGCAGAGGGAGAGGGAGAAGCAGACTCCCCGGGGCTCGATCCCAGGACCCCGGAATCATGACCTGGCAGGTCATGAGCTGAAGGCAGACACCCAACCGACTGAGCCACCCAGGCACCCCTGAACAAATACTTAAGCTATATATACAGTATTATAACCTTTAATTCCTCATACAAAGATTCCAGCATTTGGTATTCCTGGTATATATTCATTCTGGAAAATGCTGCTTGTGAGAGACAGCTCAGTTGCAAATCAACTATTTTGTCTTAAGCCTCTGTCCTTGTGATTTTGGAGCTCATCTTTGAAAACATTATTTTTTTCTGTCTACATCAACTTAACAGGTATACCATGTCTGCCTTGGTAGCAGTCAGGCCCTCCACAGTGAATGTGTATACTCCTAATGGCCTATATTTTAAGTCAAACCATCCCAAACAAACCTTCCAAATTTGATTAGTCCATTTTTCCAGCTGTTTTCAAATAATGTGATAACAAACAAACTAAACCTTCATTTTTAAATGACCACAGGATTTATTTTAGTTTCTGTGCAAAAACTGTAGAAATGTATCAAGTTGGGTTTTTTTTTTTAGAGAATATTTGAAGTAAATACTTTTAAAGATTAAATTAGCTTCCTTTTGTTCGTTTGTCTGGAAGGCAAGTACAGAGGCTTGAAAAGCACCAACCAACTTAATTCACCATTTCAGAAACAGTGTATCGTTAGTATAGTGGATAAGAACACTTGATTTTGTAGTCAGACCAACTCAAATCCTGATTTCATCACTTAACCACCTTTGTGGCCTTAGGGATGTTACTTAATCTTCCTCCGCTTCACTTTCCTTATTGATAAAATGTACTTAATTATAGTACTAACTCCATATGTTGCTATGAGGATTAAATGAGTTAATACTTGTAGAGTGTTTAGAATAAAGTGCCTTGCATAGTAAGCACTAACGTCAGCTATTTATATAAATATGCAAATATCAGGAAAGACCGAAATATTAAAACATTGTGTGATTGCCCCAAATTTTCTTGAATTATAAGATAAAAATGAAAAGTCAGAATTCGTGATTCTGTGGTACATCATGGGTTTCTTATTTTTTAATTTGACCTCATAACACAATCTAGTGAATGGTAAGCTAACTCAAAGTTTTGAAAAGGATACATAAATTAGTTGTAGATAACTTGAGATTACAAAAACAGAAATTAAAACATTATTTTTTAAAGATTTTATTTATTTGAGAGAGACAGAGCAAGAGTGTGCATACCCACATGCATGCACTAGCAGGGGTAGGGGCAGAGGGAGAGGGAGAAGCATATTCCCCACTGAGTGTAGAGCTGATTATATCCCAGGACCTGAACCAATGTCAGACACTTAACCAACTGAGCCACCCAGGTGCCCCCAAATTAAAACATTTTAATCGCATTTATCAAGTATCAAACTGTCAAAGATTAGCAAATTGATAAGATCCAGTGTTAGCCAGAGAGTGGAGAAACAGGAACTCTTATTATCTAGGATTGCCAGGAGTATAGATTAATATAACCTTATTGGATCTCAAATTGGGAATGTTTAACAAAATTTTATTTATTTATTTATTTATTTTTATTTTTCTTAAAGATTTTATTTACTTATTTGTCAGAGAGAGAGAGAGAGAGAGATCACAAGCAGGGGGTG